AGGGGCGCAGCGCCCTCATGCCATGGCCATGCATCCCCTTACGCTGGGGAGCAGATCCTCTGGCAACCATAAATTCTGATCGACCAGGGATCAGATGTTACCACAGTCTTCAACTGTGACCTGTCTGATAGTAATTTTGGCCCCAAGGAAGCCATAGAATGTTCCATTTTAACTTAGAATTATCAAAAACTCCACAGCCTTGTAAGGAGAACCCTACCCCCCCCCCCCCTTGGTGGCATCGCTGAAGTGCAGTGCTTCCTCTTGCAGTTTTTTCTCGAAAAAGGTAGTTTTATCTTCTACCTTGCCTGTTTTAATTGGTTTTAGGCAACATCGATGGGCCATTACTAATGACATAAATGTATTCTTGATTTAATTTAAATAGCGCCCTCTTTAGTGAAACATATGTTTGTCATTTTCAAAAGTTATTTCAATTACAAATAAATTACACACTGTTGGCTCAGTAGTATAATTTGTATAGTTCAGTATTGAGGTAATTTTGTAACACTTTGTTTTTTGTTTTTCAGATATGGTCACTAAAACTGTTCCCGTTTGCCTGTGTTGTACATCTCCAGAAACTTGTTTATTTTTTATTTTGATCAAGACTGTTGCTGTCAACATTATCTCACATATAACTAAGTTCCTGTTTTGTGCCCTGCTCAACATTCAAAATTCATTCTGGGTTGCCTAGTGATGCCAAAAAAACATTTTCTGATCCTGTAATGAAAACAAATGGTGCAGTTATGTTTTTATTTTAAATTGCTATGAAAATCATGCTTTTCTTTCAGTTTTAGAATTTGTGAAACAAAATGTGACATTCTCTTTTCAAACTGAAATGCACGATGGCTAGAGACATTTTTTTCCTTAGATGAAAAGACATGCGCATGTGTCTAAAAAATAAAATTATCTACCATGTGTGGAGTACTGAACGTACAGTTTATCTGTAATGGCTCTGAATAGTGTTACTGAGATCTTATCAATACTAGTATGTAACATTGTTATGTCAACATTCTATAGTTTACATATTGGAATATTATACTTACCATATTATATTATTATGATAAAGGTCTTTTGTCTTGTAATGTAAGTGAATAACACTGACCTACTTTTAGTGTAAAACCTTGATGTGGTTTGCCAAAGGTGATGATCATTAGCTAATCAGTAATCATATGTCAGGGTCGAGGATGGCTTATGACCAGAATTAGAATAATATTCCAACCGTGTATGTAGCTGACAATACAATATGGTTCTGTTCTTGTGTTGTATCTAGCATCCTGCACCCAACCTTGGGAAAATTGATATTGTATTGTGTTCAACCAATCAGCAGCTTTCTTACAAACACACATGCAGAATAATGTAGTGAGACATTCTCTCAATGGATGATGTATCATGTCAGTCGTGCTTCTCCCTTTTTCCTTTTTCCCCGTCTCAAGACAATATATTGCATGTTTTTTTCTTGTTTTGCATTTACTTAATGCTTTGTATCTTTCTTGTACATGATGAAAAGTTTACAAATAAAATTGTGCTCATAAATTTGAATGTGTTAAAGTGACTCTTTCAAGCAGGACATACCTAGGATGATTTTATTTCTTAGATGAAAGCATTGACCAGAGGGTCTATGATGAAAGTAACAAACCCTTGTAGTTCTAGACTAGCTTTGGAAGGAGGTTGAAACGCGAGACAAATTCTTTGAGCCAAATCACATAATCTATGTCATAAATGCTGAGCATTTTTTTCTCTTGACACAAAATTTAGGTTTGGCCATTTGTAACCGAGAGGAACTTTTTGTTTACGCTCTTGAGATCGAAAGTATCACAAATCAGGTCAGAATTGTTTTTTTTAATTTGCGTTCGAAGGAGGCGGCATGACGACCACAGCCTTTGAATTTTTTCCACTATTTTTGTCCATGTAAGTGAAGGATAATTATCATGGAAATAGTAAACTGTTGCCTGTCATAGAACTTCGTGCTTGCGCTCGTGACTTCATGAATTGATTAGCCCCTGGGCGCTGTATACTCGGGAGTTCCTGTTCCAGTCATTATAAACTGGGTTAAATGCCACGGCAAAGGTTACCGCGCATGAGCAGATGAGTCTAAAATAGACTACTCAAAAGCAGAAGGTGAGAAACGCCTGAGAATATGAACGAAGTTGCTAAAAAACGTCGTATTGCTGGCGATGAACCGATGGAACCTATTCGTGACAGGTAAATAGCTATTGTACCACTGTTATTGTGTAAACAGATATGCGATCACGTAGTTGCGGCAGTGAACGTCGTGTTATGTGTTACAGCGCCGCCATCAAACAGGAAATCAACATGTTGACAGTTCAATTTTACGAATCGTAATCCAAAAATCGTAACATTACTGTAACGTTTATTTGAGATCGCACAGCAGGGCTTTATTTATATATTAACCAATTCGAAATTGTTACAAGTGGTGTCTTAAAACGCATCATACACGATGCATATGTTATGCATCGCAAAGTTTAAATTGACCTAGTTTTAGAATGACGAAGGCCAAAACATTCTGTTTTGCATATGTATTAATATATACTCATAATAATAATAATAATAATAATAATAATAATAATAATAATAATAAACAAAAACAGTGTATGATAATTCAGTCCTGAATAATTACTGATAATTACTCTCCAGATATAATGCTGATATTATTAAATACATTTGTTTTAAATAATATTGCTAAGATCGTTGGTGAATAGCGATCATGTGACTGTGGAACTCCTGAGCTAGTTGTAAACAAAATCACAAATGCACATTGTTGTACTGGAAAGAGATTGGTATAATACAGGAATAATAGTTGTGTCGTACTGTATATCAGTCAATGCAATATAAATAATAATAATATTACTTTCTGTGATTTAAAAATTGTGCTCTTCAAATATTTTGCTAATATACTGTGGAATACTTTATTTTCGCTGGAATTAATTTTCGCTGAAAAGGCTTTTTGGACGTTTTGTATGGAATATATTTTCACTGATTTTTGATGAGTTTATATAGAAATATAGGAAAAAATGTATATTCGCTGGATTTTATTTTCACGGAATCATCCTTTCAGCGAAAATAAAGTATTCTACAGTATTATTCTCCATAATCTTTTTAAATATGGAATTCACATCCATTATATTTTTAAGGTTTAATGTTGTTTTATTGACAAAAATATCTTTTCTGTTGACCCTTTTATTCATGTCACACAAGTTTGTAATAAAGAAACTGAAAATTGCACTGCTTCCAATGCTCTGTCTAAGTCTATGCATAATTAAATTAATTATTTTTCAAAGATGGTCTCTGGTTTTCGGTTAAATTTTGGTTTATAGTTCTATTGAAACATTTAAAATTCCTCAGAAGAAATTCAAATCAAATGGTTACACTAACTACTAGTAGAACACATATTTAAAACATACAAATTTTACACGAATTACTAACTAAAGCACAACAATGGTTTTAAAAAAAAATACAAACTACAATTTAAAAAAAATAAATAAAAAAAAATAAATGTATTAATTATTGGTGGTGTACCTCTCCTTTACAATTTTTTGTTTATGGTTGCTCAGACGGAACCTACTTAGACATTCACGTGGTTCGGCATTCTTTATTTGGCTCAAGTAATTTTCTAAAATAAATTCATTTTTGAAATTTTTGTACATTCTGAGTTTATTCTTTCTGTTATTGTTATTTTGGTTATCATCAGTCCGTAATGTATGTTAATTTCCCTTTTCCAGTATAATTTATATTTTTTTTTTCAATTTCTAAACTTAATTTCTTGATTATAAGGTTATCACCTGATAACACTTGGTCGTAGAGCAGGTGTCATCATCAGTGTTCCCTAATATGCATAACTGACGTAACTAGTTGTGTTAATTTACTGGCATATCATTGACGCAATCGTACATTGATAAAGTGATCCATGGAATACAATTTACTATAGTTGCAAAATTTAATAGGTGTAAAAACGATATATAACCTTTTTCACGTTGCCCGTATCATCAAAGGTGGAAGGGAAAAGTATATTAAGGGAAAAATGTCTGTCGCCGTTGTCGTTGTTGTTGTTGTCATCATCGTCATTGATAATAATTCTTATTGTTTGCACAATAACTTTACTAATTCTATTCCACATTTTTTCAAACTTGATCACCTAATTCATCAGTATAAAATCTTCCCTTAGTGTGAACGACAGATGTCCTGTGTGAAAATGTCATGCAAAAATTGAGAAAATCTGATAAAATTTGTTGACTGTTTCTACTTGACTGATCACTGGTGATACACATTCAAAGGTCACTGATCTCAGTGGAAATATGCACTGTTGCATGTGTTCAATGAAGCAAATCATTTATCTTGTAATAATATCGTTGGTAATGTATCTCCCAAATCCCATGGGAATGCTAGACTGGGTTTCAAAACCAACTCATGGAGAGAGTTGTTGCACAGTCTGATACACATTCGCAAACCTACCAATAAAATTTAACAGAAAACAAGATGTCAGATAATCAATATAAGCACTCCTATGAATTTGGTGCCAAACTTTTGATCAAGATCTGAAGCCAATAGAAAATCTTAGTTTAGTCTAAGTTGTTAAAACAAAAAGCAAAATGTTGCATCCACATTTTGAAAGGAAAATATGTACCGGGTATTCTGTATTTGACAAACAGTTTTTTGTTAAAGTATATAACTTTTGAAAATCAAAACTCACAGGAATTTGTTCCAGCTATAGGAACTAACTATTTGCATTATTTGGCAATTCAACATCTGTCTATTGTCATATGCTATGTCAACTCTGATTAGCTGTATGCTTTACATGCATTTCAATCACTATTTGAGTTGATTTGCATACAAAGCAGAACTTGCAACATAATAGTTATTTCTAGACAGCATTTTTTTTTTACTTTTCAAATAATACAGTAGTCCCACAAGTGAATCAATAATTTTCGACAGATACCTGTACAAAATACTTGGGCATAATCCAGCTAAGATTTTCTGTTATCTTGCATGTTTTATCAATCTATTCACCTCTAAATGCAGCACTTTTTTTCCCCGAGATGAGGCATTTGTTTTTATACTAAAATATCTGAATTACTTTGAATAAATTAGGCACCAATGTTTTTGTAAGATATTTACATCTATCAAGGACAATCAGTAGACTGCTTTCCCACTGTTATTTCAATCCTAAAACTTGTGTCAATTCAAAATTAATGCACATTCAATTGAAAACAAACTATGATAAAGGAAATAATATTATCGTAAAATTCCTAATTGAGGTCGTGGCTTATAATTAAATTTTGGAATGGGTGGTAATTTGAACACATTGTACCATCCGGCATTTTGATTGGTTAATTAGCGACTTGACTCAACTTTTTTCTTTTGTGCATCAATAACTTACAGAGAGAGTCACATACAATGTGTTTTTTTATTTGAACACCAACCTCTCTAGTAGTCAACAAGTTGACTCAATTTTATTTTGGGTAATTTTGAAGTAATTGTTATCTAGTCTCAAATTCTCTTATTACTGTGATAAAAATAGTACTGTTGCATTGTTTTTCATTGATAATACGTAAAATGACAACATTTAACATGATATCAGCAAGGATATTTCACGCTGAACGTCACAACTGTGAACAGTATTCACCATAGTCATATGATAAAGAAATCAGGAAATTAATCAAAAGTGAATAGAAAATAGCAAGCTGAATAATTATTTATTTGAAATACCAAATTTAGTCTATTAAAAACACATTTTCATCAAAGTGTACATATGCTGAAAATTGCATATATTGTATGCTGGATCAGTAAAATGACTAATTTTGACCATATTAAATGAGGTGAAAATTACATATCGGGGAAATTAGTTATTAGGGCAAATAAAATGATTTTAACCAACATATTGGTACACTGACTGTTGTGGAATACTATCTATCATTATTCATATACAATGTGATAAAGATTGGTTGAGTGATCTCTATCATTTCAAATTTATAAATAGTTATTGTTTAATTTGCATGAAAGCTGTTCACATCTCTTTGCTGATCAATTGTATTAAAATCATCTGTTTATAGTCACATGACCATATTTTTTATGAACAAACATGTATTGCCCTTATATAAAAAAAGAGATATTAAAGATATTGGTAACTACATGTATAAGCCCATTTCTATTTTATCAATTTTGAATAAATGTCTCGAAAAATTTGTAAATAAACGTATTGTGATTTATTTAGATAAATTTAATATTTTGTATGAACATCAGTATCAATTTAGAGAAAAATATGGTTGCAGAATCTCTTTTATAAGTCTTATCCAGCATTTGCTTGATGAGATAGATATGGGACATCCCTCTAGTGGTATGTTCATAGACTTTTTAGCTCCGCTGTCGACTTTGTCGAGCGAAGCTTATCATATGAGTGATTGTCCGTCGTCGTCTGTGTCAATGTTTTACTATTTCTACTTCTTCTTGAAAACTACAAGTCTGAATGCTTTGATACTTGGTGTATATGTACCTTGGGTAGACCTCTCTTAGGTTTGTTCATTCCATGATGATATCTTCAATTCTCTAATTTTGGTGAAAATTTTTGTCATTTTTGGTAAAAAGTGTAAGGCTTCTTGTCTAAAGCTTTTGATAAAGTGAATCATGATATTTTTATTAGCTCCGTTTTGACTTTGAGTGATTGTCCGTCGTCATTCGCATGAACTTTGTACTTTTTCAACTTTTTTTTGAAAACTACAAGCGTTATTGCTTTAATAATTGGTGTATATGTACCTTGGGTAAACCTCAATTGAATTTGTTCATTTAATGATGATATCTTTAATTCTCTAATGTTGGTGAATATTCTTGTCATTTTTGATAAAAAGTGATATTTTTGACTTCTTTGTTAATAATCGCAAGTCTGATTGCTTTTATATTATACATAAAGGTACTACATGTGGACCTCACTCAGATTTGTTCACTAAGATGCTCTGTGACATCACTAAGAGCTTCAGTGGCATCACTAAAAGGCTCAGAAATAAGCCATATACATGTTTAGTTCACGGTTAAATTATGTGCTTACACATTAATTAACCAATTTATTGGTGTTCTACAGGTATCTTGAGTACCACTTATTACTTCAGGGTAATGTATATTAATTACCCTTCTTGTATAAATGGGGTCATGTGACCTCATTATTATGCATAAGTGTAATATCTCAAGACTGTTGCAGACAAGGACATGCGGCTGGTGCTATAATGGAGAATTTGAAAAGAGATACATGTACATGTAAGATCATATGTAGTCATCGACCTCATTATCTTGCATGTTGTATGTGTTCAATGAAGTAAATCATTTATCTTGTAATAATATTGGTAATGTATCTCCCATGGGAATACTAGACTGGGTTTCAATGTCAACTGATGGAGAGAATTGTTGCACAGTCTAATACACATTTGCAAACATATTAATAAAATACATAAACTAGCTTAACAGAAAACAAGATATCAGATAATAGATATAAGCACTCCTATGATTAACCCTTTGGGTGCCAAGCTTTTGATCATGTCTGTTTAGTCAAAAGTTATCAAAACAAAATGCAAAAATACATAAAGAAAATTGTACTCAAATACATGTATTCTGTATTTGACATACATTTCATTAGTCAAAATTTTTCTTTGTCAAAGTACAGTATTAAAGTTGTGAAAATCAAAATTCACAGGAATTTGTTTCAGCTATTAAAACACAATTATAGAGATTTTATAATAGTAATTTAAAAACACACTTCAAAAACATAAATCACAGTAAGTGCTTAGGGATATCCCCTCTTTGTACTTATAGAAATATTTATAGTATCCAATTGTCTCTTTGTTGGCTGAACACTCTAAATTCATATTTATTAAACTTATAGGCATCAAAAATTAATGATTTACTGACACAAATATGAACTGTTTCTGATCATTATATTCATTGTGCGATGACTGTATTACTTGAAAAGTAAAAAGTGCCCTCTATTTATAACTACATCATGAATAAGACAATGCATACAACTACAATTTTTCATCCTGTTCAGCCAACTGGAAATTATGTCTCTTAAAGTAATTAAAACATTTTCCTATAATAGTTTTAGTGCAAATGAAATTGTCTGTAGGTAGTGGTCAAAATTGTTGACTGAAAATGAGTTTTATGAGTTTATTTTTGAATGATGACAAAAGTTCACTTTGGCATTCAAAGCTTTAATGAAATGATGAGCAGATATCAAACATGTCTGTCTAGTATGTTGATTGAAAAATACATAATGTATAGCTTTAATGAAATGATGAGCAGATATCAAACATGTCTGTCTAGTATGTTGATTGAAAAATGCATAATGTTTACTTATCGCAGTTTATAGTGTTAATCATCTACAAATTAATTTACCCAGCCATGTGACTTCAAGGGCATTTATTCATTATTTTTATCTCATACTGACCATCGCTGGTGTCGCCAGACGAGATAAAACAGGTTTGTTTATCTTGTCTTGGCTGTACCCATTTCTTGTGTGACCTCTATTATCTGTTGTGTCTTATCAGAACCAATCGCAATCTGAGCGATAAGTTGCGAAGAGATCGGTTCAACTCGTACATCAGTGAGTTAGGAGAGCTTATAGCACCAGCAACACCAAACATCAAACGGCGAGAAAAAATCAGCGTTCTGAAGCTAGCAGTGAACTGTCTGCAGTTACACCACGGTAAGTCAAAAATCAGTGTTCTAAACCAGATATCGGCAGTTACCATGGTAATTATATCTTTAATTAACTAATTTTGGTAAAAAGTGATATTTTCGACTTCTTGTTAAAAACCGCAAGTCCAATTGCTTTGATACTACATCTATAGGTACTACATGTGGACCTCTCTCAGATTTGTTCATTTTGTAGTGATATCTTTAATTCTATAATTTTGGTGATTATTTTTGTAATTTTTGGTAAAAAGTGATATTTTTGACTTCTTGTTGAAAACCGCAAGTCCAATTGCTTTGATATTATACATGTAGGTAGGTACTACATGTGGACTTCTCTCAGATTTGTTCATTTTGTAATGATATCTTCAATTCTCTAATTTTGGTGAATATTTTTGTCATTTTTGGTGAAAAGAGATATTTTTGAATTCTTGTTAAAAATAGTAAGTCCGATTGCTGCGATACTATACATATTGTTCATTTTCTAATGATATCTTTTGTTCTTTAATTGAAATGTGCATTGATAACAATCTGTTAAATTTCAATAACTATCATATTCAGTAAAAACATTTGAAACAATTCAAACAATTTAGGGCTCACCATGATGTATTATAAATCCTGGTTGATTTTATGACAATAAAAATCAACTGTGTACAATAAATACTGGATAGATTTAATTCATTGTATTTAGCTAGGTCAGTTGTAATAATTTGTTTTTTACCTCGCTTTACTGGTGCTCCTGGCAATTGTTTTAAAGAACAAAAGCTACAGTGTTGTCATATCATCAACAGATCTGATAAGTTTATGGTTGAAATCAATGCATAATAATTATCTAATTTGCATAAATTAGCCATAGTTAACTGTTCTGCAGATATGTCATAGATGGTCAGGGATAATCCATGAACTTGACTTGTTTTTAGTTACAACCTGCACGTAGATCATGGACATGTACTAATCAAATTTGCATAATTGATTGCAATACCTGTTGGCACATTGATCAGCCAAGTTTATCGATTATATCTAATAAGGATTACACAACTGTTCTTCTTCCACAGCAGATTCTCAATTTTATGATCATAGTTCAGTAGTGTAATTCAGTTTAAAAATTAACACTGTGCATTGTACATGCAAGAAGTGACATACAGTGTACATGGTGAAATTAAATTGATGAACTAGATGTTATGGGGTGTAGTTGGAGGTCACTGATAAATATATAGTGTATGACCTTCATGTGACATCCACTTTTTGACAATTGTGTCGGCACACTGAATTGATCCAACGACAGTGCAGGACAAATGAACTGGCAGAATTTTAAAGGGTGAATTGCAAAAAATAAATCAAGAAAACGACAATGAGTGTTTTGGCACCTTTCATCAAAAAGAACATTATCATTCATTTTGTCTACAACTTTTATCAAAGACCTGTTGCTAATTATATCCATTTGATCCAGAATTAACAAATAAATTATAGAAAGTAGTAAGAGAAAATTTTGCAAAATTGTCACCAGCAATTTTGGCGAGAATAAGTATGGCCTCGTTGTTAATTCCTAACTTATTCATATTATATTGCTTTTAATTTTATAGACCTAAGACCAGTAAGGATGAAAGAAACGTGGCAAGCCCCATTTGTCACCGCTGACAACCTTGGAGTTGCATTATTAGAGGTATGATTAATTTATCTGATGGCTATTATAACATACCATTGTGTACATGGCTGTATTGTATATAACTTTATTACATTCAATTGACCAGCATTCAGATTGCTACTATATCTATACTTCAGTGAGTCAAATAGAGAAGCATGATATACATATAATACTATAAAACCATTTTAATGTTTTCCTATAATCTAATGTAAATCAAAGATGAAGAAAATGAAAAAAAGAAAATCAATCAATAAAATACAGTAAAAATTACCGGGGGTATATATGTTTAGGGTGTCTTAGCATTGTTTCCTACGGAAAGAATAATGATCTCAAAATTTTGACATAAAGTGCCTTACAATGCACTTTTTAATGTCTATGAGTATTACAAATCTTTGTTAGAAGAAGCCATTTTAAAAACATCAGCAATATAGAAACTCCCTCCTCATCTATCCTAAAAAGCCATTTTGCAGACATCAGCAATATGGAAACTCCCTCCTCATCTATCCTAAAAAGCCATTTTGCGGACATCAGCAGTATGAAAACTCTCTCCTCATCTATCCTAAAAAGCCATTTTGCAGACATCAGCAATATGGAAACTCCCTCCTCATCTATCCTAAAAAGCCATTTTGCGGACATCAGCAGTATGAAAACTCTCTCCTCATCTATCCTAAAAAGCCATTTTGCAGACATCAGCAACATGGAAACTCCTCTCCTCATCTATCCTAAAAAGCCATTTTGCAGACAACAGCAACATGGAAACTCCCTCTTCATCTATCCTAAAAAGCCATTTTGCAGACATC